ACATTTATGGTAACAAAAAAATTCTACTGGCCACAGAAAAAATTTTAGGGGAAAAAAATAACTCAAATCTTGGGCTTCAGAAAAAAAATGCAGAAAAAAATGGAACAAATTCTAACAGAGAAAGGTAGCCCATCCTGTTCCTTTGCTCCCTCAGTTGCCTTAAAATGGACTTGTGCCACTTCCCACTCTTTCCCAGACCAGCCTTGGTGTTCCCTGAGGAGAGGATCTGCATTTGAAATTCTCATTCCTCCCATTGTTGTGCCTGGGTGTAGTCATTCCCTTGCAGGCACACACCTGGAAGAGAGAGTGGTGCAAATGATAAATATGGAATTGCCTGTTTCCAGTCTTTCACCTGCTGGGTTTATCCTCTCTCTGTTCACACACAAAAGTCTTTTGGATCTGGAAATGTTCCCCCACCTAAGGGTCAATAGGTCCCATGAGCAGGGATTTGCCAGCCTTCCCTTTACATCCCTGATCTGGAAAATCAGAGAATAACCTGCTGGGGAGGGATCTTTGAAGCAGGTGAACATTTTGCTTTAAGCAAGGCCAAGTCTAAAGACAGATGAGTTAGCTTTGTGACCTGTCTAGAAAAGGTTGTGTTAACTCCAAGGATGGAGATTCCAAGAATTCCTTGAGCTTTTTAGGAAAGACTTTTTGCAGTTACGTGTGCATTTGCCTATATACAACTTCAGTCACCCTGGGAATTCATGATTAGCTAATTCCATGCTCAGCTGATCTCTGAGCCCTTTTCCAAATGGCTGTTAAACAGGCAGGACCTGCTCTGCTGAAGAAAGAACCCTAGTTAGCTTTCCTTGTGCTTTTCCACTTTCCCCACCTGGAAGTTTTGCCAGAGCTGATTCTGAAGGTGGTGGTCAGGATTCCTGTGTGCCAAGCAGGTCTGTGGGTCAGGACAGCTCCCTGTGTCTGCAGTGGCTCTGGGTGTGCTGAGGAGCCTCTTGAAAGCCCAGCTCTGTGCCTGGTGTTGGACACTGTCATTCATGGAACATGTCTGGTGCTTGCTGGAAGTCTGTACCAAACAGACCTGAATTTTCAGCACAGCCTTGTCAGCACTCTGCTTTTTCAGTAGGAGCAAGTGAAGTGAGGCAGCAGCCTGGCTTTGGGTGTAAGATGTGCAGGCAGGTAACACAGAATTGTGGAATCACAGAAGGGTTTGGGTTGGAAGGGACTTGAAGCTCAGTTTATTCCATCCCTGACCATGGGCAAGAACACCTTCCACTAGACCAGATTCTCCAAGTCCCATCCAACATTACAAACCCTCTTCTTTTGTGAAGTTCTTCTCTGCACTTGTTTTGCCTCCTTCCCACAGCTCTGCCACTGGCACTGCTGGATCTCATTGCAGGCACACTGTAAAGTCAAGTAAGACCATTTTATAACACACCACAGCTCTCCCCAAATCCCCAGGTTCCTGTCTGTGCCGGCACTGTCTTGTCTCCACTCGGCCAAAACGGGGGACTCTTGGTGACAGAAGAGAGGAGCATGATGGCAGCTCCCCAGTTTACACCAGTCCATTGCTCAGATGCTTCCCCAGAGAAGTCTGACATACTAGGGAATCCTGGCCACAATTTCCTCTCATCCCAAAGTGTGTTTCTGGAAGGAGGCACCGTGCTAAATTTGGTATACACAGAGCACAGCCAGTTTGGATGTGTTGTATTAAACATCTTCTCTTTGCCTGTGATCTAGACAGACCATGAGATCTTTGCACTGTGAAAACTCATCCTGTATGGAACATTGCATTGTGTTGGAGGAGAGATTCACCTGTTTCCATATTTATGATTATTGTGCTCTCTGTGGATGGGAAAAGCCCGGGCTGTGTTTTTGCTCTGTGCATTTGGGATGTGGCTGGGCACCCACACCACCGGTGTTGGGAATGAGGGCATTTCCAGCCCACCTGCTCTGCTGCCTCCGGCTCTTCTGTAACCACTCATGGTTTTGGTTTTTTTCCCCGTCTCACCTTCTTCCAGGAAATATGATCATCCAGATCCTGCCAGAAGTGGAGACGCTGGGCCTGGGCCCAGACGATGTTCCCAAGCTGACGGAGCAGGTCCGTGACTCCATGCTCTTGGCCTACCAGGGGATATCAGGAATGACAAATGGAGCTCCCCATTAGCGGTCCCATCTTCCAGCTCCAGCTGTGTGTGCCACAGCTGAGAGAAGGCCATGGCAACCACAGGAAGGTCTGGCAGCAGAGACAGATGTGGATTGCAACACTGACATACCAGAGACAGGCAAAAGGTCCACCAAGGAGAGAAGCTTCCCAGGGGAATGTTGCTGTGCCACCTCCCACAGAACTGTGCCATCAAGGGGACAGACACACAATGGATAGCTGGACATTTCTGTGTCATCATATTGCTGAGAATGCCCCAGCCTGAACCCAGGCAGAGCTGGGCCCTTCCAGTGATCATCACTGCCTGCTTATAACCACCTTTCCCTGTTCAGATCCAGCAAGGTGGAGGTGTTGACCCCAGGCCTGTGAACATGCTGCTGCCTGCCTGGGGTTTGAGGGCTGCCACATTCCTCTGGAACACACTCAGGAGAAGGCGCTGTTTTCTTCCTCTTCCATGGGGAGGATTTGGGAGGGACCTCTGCCATGAGAGACAGGAACCAAGGAAGCTTTGGGAGAGGGGAATTAAAGACCTTACATGTGTCTACAGGGCTTGGTGGTTTCTTTGACATATTTAGCCTTCCTTTTAAGCTGAGGAAGATTTTGCTTTCAGGGCTGGGAGAGAGGGACATGTCTGGGGACTCAGAAACCAGAGGCAAAAACAGCAGGAGTATACTGCCTAATATCCTTGATGTGCCCAGATGGAATAGTTCCTGGAAGTGTTCCAAAGATGTATATATCTGGTCCCTGGGGACATGGTTTAGTGGTTGACCTGGCTGTGCTGGGTTAATGGAGTTGATGACCTTGGGGTACTTTTCCAGCCTTGCTGATTCTGCAATTCCATGATGATTTTATGATAACCTCATGATTTTTAGCACAATCTCTGTATCTTTCAACTCAAACACACTGTGGGAGCTGTAGCTCCTGATTTCTGAGTCCAGCCTTCTGCCTTCTTTGTCAGAGAATGCCCACCAGCCATGATGTGATTTGCTTTTTTGTACTGGTATGTTTAGCTATGAACCAGAGCCAAAGAATATTTTGGACATAGGTCTGGCTTACACAGAATCACACTCATTCACAGAATCATTATGTTGGAAAAACCCTCTAGGATCATCCAGTCCAGCCTGTGACTGATCCTTACCTTCTCAACCAGCCCAGAGCACTGACTGCCATATGCAGTCCTTCCCTGGGGCTTGTTCCTCACTTTCCCACCTCCAAAACAAGGGGAAAGGTCAAGCTCTTGCTGTTTGGGTAAAACAACCAACAGAAAACCTGCTGCAGTTGTTCTGAGGATGCAGCTTTCCATGTGAATATGAATGGGAAGGAGCAGGTCCCAAGGGTAAAAGTGCTGGACACAACTTGTCCACGGAGATCATGCTCAGGGCTCCTTGACATCTGCACTCTGGGAAGAAATCCCAAAAGGATTTGGGTTGTAAAGTACCTTAAAGCTCATCTCACTCCATCCATGGCGGTCCCATGGCAGGGACACCTTCTACTGGACCTGTGTGTTCCAAGCCCTGTCCAACCTGGCTTTGGACACTTCCAGGGCTGGGGCAGCCACAGCATCTTCGGGCAACCTGTGCCAGGGCCTTTCTACCCCCACAGGGAAGAATTTCTTCCCAATGTCCATTCTAAACTGACCTCCTTCAGTGTAATACCATTCCCCTTTGTCCTACAGCAACAGGCCCTGCTAAAAGTTTTGTCCCATCTTTCTTACCTCTTCAAGTGCTTCCACAGCATAGTCCAGAGCTGGCCTAGCCTTGCCCACATCCCATTCTTCCTAAAGCAAAAAAAATCTTTCTCTTAGTGTTTACTGTTTTCCTCTGCAGCTATAGGTCGGATTTGGCAACTCAGGCTGGGAAAGCACCTCTGTATTGTCTTATGATTTCTCTCTAGTCTTGTGTTTTCCAGGCAGGAAAACTGGCTGCAGTCAAGAGGCTCATGGACACCCAAGGAGCAGCATCCCAATAAAGGGCAGCCCAGCCCAGCACCATTCTGTGTCCCAGGAAGATGTTGCTGGGGCAAATACATGGAGAGATGAAAATCTGCACAGGGTGTATCCTTGTGAGTGGGGCTACCTCACTGTGCTGTGAAAGATGGTGTCCCTGTCCCTCTCCAGGCAGCACTGCTGGTCTCAGCACAACATTGCACACCCAGGTATCAGTTTGAGGAGGGGGTTGTAGGTCTGGGAGCAGCAAGTGTGTGGGATGTGCCTGGGGAGTGTGGAGAGCAGATTCATGAATGTGAAAGTCCCACATGTGGGTACAAATACTTCTAATTCTGTAGAGGATGTGGGGAGGGGGGGTGTGAGCTGTGGGGGAATGAGGTTTTGAAGGATGTTCCTGAGTCTGCAGTATGGAAACTTTATGGGTTTGCCTGAAACCATTTTCCATCTTCATGTGTGCTATAGAGGCTCAAATGGCTCAGAGGGACCATGGTGAACACTACACAGAGGCACATAAAAGGGAAAAAGCAAAGGTTTTCTCCAAATCCTTTATTCTCCAGAATCATGAGTTGACATGTATAAACCAGGGTCCCCCGTCATCCAACACTGGGTCACCCTCCTATAAATATCCTCCCTGTCACTGTCCTATAAATAATATCATTATCCACAGAAAAAAAGGACTGACTGCCCCATATGAAGATTTCTTAAATAACTTCAAATAATACAACAGCCAAGGTGCAGTCCCGTGGGTCTGGGGTTGGGGCAGAGGGATGAGGCTGAAGCCTGGTCTGTGCAAGCCAAGGATGAGCAGCAGCCCCGAAACAAGGTGCCCTTCCAGCAGTCCCTTGGGGACACCTGCAGATGCTCCTGTGGCTCCTGCTGTCCCAGGGCTCTGCTCCATGGCTGGAGCAAAGAATAATGTGACTTGTCCATGACAGCAGCTACTCTTGCCATACTGCTTGGCTTAGTTCTGCTCCAAGATTTGCAGGTAGCTTCGGACCCAGCTGTTTTTGGGATTGGCACATACCTGGCGGCCTTGCTTTGTGACAAACCTGTGGAACAGGAATGGGACATGTTAGATCTCTGCTCACACCTACGTCCCAGGAGAGCCTGGATCCCAGCTTCAAGAGGTTTTCCCCTATGCTGATGCTGAAAACAGCAGACGATTGTGATGTTCCCTACTCCCATCCCTTCTCCTGCACTGCCACCTCCACTCCTGCAGGAGCATCCCTTGGAATCCCCAAACAAGCATCCCCAGCAATCCCTGTGCGAGCCCTTTCTCCGCGGTGTTTCCCTCTCCCTGCTCTGTTCCTGTAGCCCCCCTTGCTGTGCAGAGCTGGTCATTCACCCACCCCTGCCATGGCTGTCCCTGCCCTGGGCCGTGCCCCGGCACTCACACGACGGCCGGCTGGGGACAGCTGCTGCTGGTGATGTAATGACGTTGGATGAGCTTCCACGGGAGTTTGTGCTGTCTGTATGTGAAACAGCAGATTGGGATGTCGAGTCCCGCTAGGAGAGCAAAGGAAGACAATGTGAGCACTGGGAGCTGTGCTGGCAGGGAAGGTAGTGAGGAATTAGAGAATAATTAAGGTTGAAATGGACATTGGAGATCATCTGGTCCAATGCCACGAGCAATATCGAGGTACTGTGAGAGATTGTCACCCTGCCATTGCTCAGAGCTTCACTTCCCCAACTCCTCCAGCCCCAGGGCAGAGGCAGAAATATCTCAACTCTAACCAGGAATAAGTACTCTGAACTCAGGTTAGATGGATGGATGGACAGGTGGATGGATGATTTTCTAATTCCAGGGTTCCTGCATGCAGCTGATCTCTGGGCAGAGCAGAGAGTGGCATAAATGCTGATAAATTCCCATCTATCTGCCATGGGAGCTCAACAGAGAAATAACATGGAAGGCTCAGATCTGTACTCCCTTCACAAATGAAAAAGCAGGACTCACCTGGGCTACAGAAAGTTTGGAAGAAGGAGGCTAAAATGATGAGAAGAGCCAATCCAGCTGCAGAGACTTTCATCTTTCCGTCGGGTGAGGGCTGTCGGAGCAGGAGCAGAAGCTCTGGATGATGAAGCTCAGTGTGCAGCAGCTGGATTCAGCCCCCTTTAAAAGGGAGTCCTGGAGGCTGCTGGAGAAGCCAAAATGGAAATTCCGAGATGATGATAAAGGATGACACGAAAGTGAAATAGCTGAAGGGAATTAGAGGGAACAGAAAAATGTGAGGCAGAATGGAATACAGTTCACAATGCCAGGTGACTCAGCACTCATTTTTGTTTCATTCAAATCAAAAAGAAACTAGAATGTGCCAAGTGGCCTGGCCACAAAAAGGAGAATGGTCCCTCTGGACTCCAGGGGAGGATTTCTCTGTGAGGCTGTGTAGGGAAAGAAAATGTTTGTGTAAGATTATGCAGTTCTGGAAAAAACCCCAACAGGCAGCACAGAAGTGCTCTCGTGCCACTGTGTGCTGGGTGTTTGCCAGACTGCTGAGCTGCTGCCCCAGAGCTCAGGGGAAGCTGTACCCAAAACACTCAGCCTGCCCTCCCCACAGCCACAGGGCTGGCGAGGAGCTGAGGCTGGAATTCATCCGGCTCAGTCCCTGGGGAGGCTGCCCAGGACCATGTCCAGGTGGGCTGTGAGACTCCACAGCCTCTCTGGACAGCCTTTTTCAGAGTGCAATGAAGTTTTATTTGGTGTTTAAATAGAATTTCTTGTTGCCTCTTGTCCTGTTAGTGGCCACCACTGAGGAGAGTTGGGCAGCATCTGCTTTGCTCCACAGACATTGGTAAGAATCCTCTTAGCTGAAGAATTCTCCATCCTGAACTCCTCCTGCATCTCCTCCCTAGAGAAATGCACGTGTCCATCATCTCTCTGGCCCTTTGCTGGACTCTCTCCGGTACGTCCACACGTCTCTAATCCTGGGGAGAGCGGAACTGGACCCAGCACCTGAGGAACCCAGTGCCTCACCTGATGCTGAGCAGAGGGGAAGGGTCCCCTCCTTCAACATGCTGTCAGTGTTCCTTTCTCATGCAGACCAGGAGCCTGTTGGAATTTTGGTGGCAAGGGCACACTGCTGCTCATGTCCAGCATGGTGTCCACCCCAGGTCCTTTTGCCAAACTGCTTTCCAGCTGGTCAGCACTGCCATATAGTGGTGCCTGGGAATGTTCCTTCCCAAGGGCAGGACTTTGCACTTCTTTTTGAGTTCCATGAGGTTCTCCAGCCTGATGAGGTTTCCACGGATTTCAGACAGGCCAGAAGTGATAGGATATCAAGGAAGGTGGAGGATTTTGCCAGAAGCAAGGTCTGGCAGGATCAGCTCTTTGTTCCCCTGGTAAGTCTGATCAGCTCAGCACAGAACAAGAAGTGGCTCCAGCTTGTGGCTGAATTGCTGCCGAAAAAAACCAAATGATGGCTTTTTGCCATGGAAATAATTAATTCAGAAACCAACAGTAGGAGTTTTATGTTCCTCTGTTCTTGAAACTCACATGCAAGTGTGACAAACGGCAGCGCTGCACAGAGCAGTGACACGGGCTCTGGCTGCAGAAAGACAGCCTGTGGCTGGCACCAGCAGATGACAGCTTTGTTCATGGGAACTTCGCACCTTCTGCTCACCCACTGCAAGGCACAAACCGTGAGGCTGATTATGTGCACGGGGACACAGGAGGATGTGGGGAGGTGTGGTGGCTGTGATGGGAACTGCATCTCTCTTTCACCTGGAAGCTCTGAGATGGTCATTATGAGGAAAGAAAGTATAACTGAATGTGAGGAGCTGGAGGAGGAGGAGGAGGAGGAGGAGGAGGCGCTTCAAAGAACTGCTGCAGCTGCAGCCCCTTGGCTGTGTCACCAGTGGGTGCCCACAGAGCTTTGCCAGCTGCGCTGTTGTTTCCCCCAGAATGTCAGGAAGCCTCCTGGAAAGGGGGAGCAGCTCCTCCCCATCACAGACACCCCCCACCCACAAAGCTCCAGCTTTGAGTCACCGGCTGCCACCCTTGGAGTTCTGCCATGATGATCCTGAACGAGTCGCCCTTGCCAACCTCTGGACCCAGTTTCTGGTTTCGGTTTTCTGTTTCTGTCCACTGGATTTTGCTTCTCTGGCAAATCCCAGAGCCCTCTGCTATTGCAGTTCCTGCAGTTTAAGCGTTTATGAACTGACCTCTCTCAAGCTTCCTTTATTATTCCTGGAAATAAGCCATTTTTTTCCACTTTCGCCTCACCCAGCTGGGGTATGAGATTTGTTTCGGTGTAAGCAAGGTAGAAATAGAAAGCTAAAATTATTCAAAGGAGAGGAGTGTAGGGAAGGATGTTATGAGGCTGCTGAGCCTTCACCCCTGGGATATAAATAGTGACAAGGGTTAGCCCAGAAGCTTTCAAACTCCTTCAAGCTCCCCTGAAATCCTGCCCTTGCCTAGAGACACAAGTTACAAAGCCAAAAACCCAGGGCAGGGTAACTGAGGGTACTTTGCCCATGGGTAATGGTGAGGGTTGTCCCCAGGCTGGTGGGGGACTTTGTCAGCCTCCCCCTGGGGCACGGCTCATCTGTGGGGGCTGCACTATCCCAGCCCTGGCACTGAAGGCCCTTGGAGCACAGGAAGGAATATTTTTCCATCCCCATTATTTTCTGTAGCCTTTTCTCCTCTTTCTGTAGGTCCACAAGTGGATGCAAGCTCTGAGGAGTGGGATGATTTGGGAGATGCTGGTGGCTTCACCTGGGGCAGAGGTGAGGTGCTCTGGGGGTCACAACACTGTTCCTCAGGTTATTCCTGACCAAGCCCAAGCCCCTTACTCCCACTTACAAACTGACCCCACCACGTTCCAACACGTGGCTGCACATCCCTGCATGGACCCCAAGAGATGCAGGAACCCTGGGACTATGGAGGGATGGGGATGCTGTGGCTGTGGAGGAGATGGGGGATGCAGGGGAGGTCTGAGGGGGCTGTGGAAGGACGCAGGGCCATGAAGGGATGCAGGAGTGAGCAGTGCCAAAGCTCCCTGAGCCCTCCCCTCTGTCCCAGCGGATGTGGGTGCCAGGCACAGCCTGTGCTAGCTGGAGCAGCCAGACAATGTCCCCTTTGATGGGCACAAACACATCTGGGGTAGCAAAACCCTCCACATTATGGGGGACAGGACCTCCACTTCAGAGAAATGCTGCTGAGCAGCCCAACCTCCAAACAGCCCCACACATGGGAAGTGGTTTTACAGCTTTGAATAAATTATGAGGCCAGTAAACACCAGTGCATGACCACAGCTGTTTACTGGCAGCTGCAGAGCTCACACCTCGCTGTGAGGCTGGGGCTAACACCTCCCGTGGGGCTCCCACCTCCCCGCAGCGACACAGCCCTGCCAGGACCCTGCAGAGAGGGGCCAGCACTGGGCAAGAGAGCTCAGGGGCCATCAGTCCCCATCCCTGGAGGGGTTTAACAGATGAGTGGATATGGCACTTGGGGATCTAGGTTAGTGGTGGCCCTGGTGATGCTTGGAGGATGGTTGGACTTAATGACTTCAGAGGGCTTTTCCAGCACAAATGATTCTATGATTACAGAAGTCCTCCCACTGTGGCAATGGCCCTGACACAAGTTTAAAGGTTATCCCTGCCTCAGGGGAGGTTGTGGTTCCAACCTGTGGGGTCAGACAGACATCCCTGGGGCCACCTCCACCCATCCCACCCAAAAAGGCCTAGAAAGCTGCACAGCAAGAGCACCAATGAAAATGAAAACTCTTTGTGTCTTGTTTTTTTTTTATTTTTCCTTGATTATAATGGGCAGGCAAGGTCCACTGGATTAATTAAAAGTGGGTTTGGTATTCATAGAATCATAGAATCAAAGAGTGGTTTGAGTTGGAAGAGACCTTAAAGACCACCTTGTCACACCCTCCCTGCCATGGCAGGGACACCTTCCCCTGTCCCAGGTGCTCCCAGCCCTGTCCAGCCTGGCCTTGGGCACTGCCAGGGATCCAGGGGCAGCCCCAGCTGCTCTGGGCACCTGTGCCAGGGCCTGCCCACCCTGCCAGGGAACAATTCCTTCTTCATATCTATTCTAACTCTACCCTCTTCTAGTTTCCATCCCAGCAGAGCTGTGAATTTTCAGTCTGGTCCTCCTTGCTCTCTCTGGGAGACTCAACAATGATCTGAACGAGGTGGGCAGAGGATGCAGCCCCAGCAGAGACACTTTGTCTAGTCCTCCCAGACATTTGGGGTTTGAGGGATGCTGAAGGGGGTGGGCTGGGTATGTCCCAGCCCCTGGAGCCAGGGGCACAGCCCCACAGTCACCTCCCTAAGGCTCAAAAATTGCAAAAACTCGGGTTTTCCCTGTTTATTTATTTTCTTTTCATGCCAAGAGTGGAGAGGGGTGTGGAGCAAATAGGCTTTTGTATTTCACTTTAATTTGCTTTGAAATACTGTACACTTCATCCTCTTTGGTTTGCTCTGCTTCAAAAGCAAAGCCAGGAAAAATCTGAGCCATCAGCCATTAGAAAGAAGAGCATTCCCTGGAATTTATTTTTTTATTTATTTTTTTAAATGCTGTTGCTGGAGAAGGATGGGACCTTTAGCAAGATACATATTTCTTATCAGCTATGACCACCTTCCTGTCCTGACACGCCTTTGGGGAAACACGAAATGTTTACTGTGAACCAGCCAGAGGTGACCGGCCAAGACGGCCGTGCTGGCCCCTGGACCCACCACACTGGAGACAGGCGGTCCCCAGCCACTCCCACAGGCACAGTTTCTTACTGGAGTCAGTTCCAGGATGTGACATCATCTAAAAAATTCCAACATTTCTACAGCAATGTCAAGAATGGTGGGGGTGAAATTTCTGGACACCGATGTAATGTCACCAGTGCTGGAGCTGGAGCAGGGCAGGATGGAGCTGCTGCAGGGGTTGGTGGGTCTTGGCTTAGGGACAACTTCCGAACTCAGGACATTTTTAATTACTTGCTTTTCTGAGTGAATCCCAATTCCTCAACATTAAACCCTGCTACAAATAGCAACTTACATCAGCCAGTCTCACCAGTTTTTTTCCAGGTTCCCCTTTCATTCAAGACAGAGAATTTCCCTATTTCTACTGTCAGGGAACTTATTTTGGGCATTTGCTTTACTTAGCACTTTCTCCTGGGATTTTCTGGGGGACTTGTAGAAAACCTCAGTCATATCCCTCTATGTAAAACAGGGCAACATCAGCCAGACTCCTTCAAATGGCAAATTCCACTGACTCCAAGCACTGCCTGCTGGGTCAGAAACTCTGAAACCACCTGATGGGAAAACTTCCTTCTTACACAACCACTTCACTTTGTAATTAAATTAATCCCCCCAGACATGCTCCAGCCCACTTTTCCCACCCTTCCATGGCCATCTTCATGTCTCAAAGCACCTCCCAGGGAAGATGGTTCTTCATCAGAGACAAATTCAACCTCGCTGCCTAAAAGGGGGAAGAGCTGGAAGAGATGACTTTCTCTTTTCCTCATCACTGGAATGTGGGAAGTGGGTAAGAAAACATTTTTTTAGGAGCATGTTGCAACATCCCAGAGCATCATTGGCATGAGTGTAACCTCCCACCTCCTCCAGCTGGCCACAAATTGGCAGAGCAAGATCTTTTGTCAGATTTCTAAGGAAGAATTAGATTCCTAGAAACTTGGCTTTGGGCTTATTTTTGGCTTTCAGCAGTAGAAAAGTTTCAGCCCTTACCAGTCCTCTGTAACACACATTACCTAAACTAAACTGATCCTAAACTGACTCAGGAAAATTTTGCTTTTATTTTCAAAATAGTCCCTGAGAGTCCAAAATAATTTGGCATGTACTTGCTGACAAAGAAATTAAGGCACAGAGGTGTCTGAGGAAAAACCTCTCATTGAAAATATTTGAAATAATCAAAGCAGATCCCAAAAAATTCTTCTGCTTTCATGAAATTCATCTTTTAGCAGAACATTTCTCCACATTTTGGCACCTTGTGCCTCAGGAGCAGGATGGGAGCACTTGGCTGTAGGTGCTGGATCTCCAGCTGTAACCCATGGATGCTTGAAGGCACAGTCAAAAGGACGGCTCAGAGGCAAACCGTGCTCCTACATCCGTGTACAAGTTATATTCCTTGAGTTACCAGGCAGCATCCAAGGGAGGTGACGCTCACTCCCTCCCGGCCCAGCTGGCATCCATCGGAATGCCAAGTTCCCACCTCCTGCCTGGCTGGGCACCCTGCATGTGGAGGCAGGCTCTCTCCTCATCTGCCCAGGATATTTGAGGACAAGCAAGATGACAAACAGAGTCAATGGGATCCGGACTGATGAGCACCTGCAAGGTGCCTCTCTGCAAAGGGAAAGATGGAAACGAGCCAGATCATCTATGGAAGGGGATGCTCAGCTTAGCAAGAGCCATATTTGCTCCACAGGGTAGATCTGCTCTCCTCAACCTCGGTGGAAGACACCACCACAGCTCCCAGCAAGAGCCTCCCTGAGGGGCTCCTGGCGACAAATCTGGGGCTTCTCCTGTGCCTTGTCCTCTGGAGTCCTCACTGCCCACCTGGAGCATGGAGCTAACCCAGCATAGCTGGTGGAGGGCTGAAGGATATTGGGAAAACACCGGGTTATTTACAGAAGGTTCCGGGGCAGTAGCTGGAAACCTTTAATAGAAACAGGATGAGTCAGTGCTGCTGGGGGGAGTGCAGAGGTGCCAGGGTGAGCTTGGGTTGCTCCACTTTACATTATCAGCCTTCCACTGGTATTCAGGAAGTGTCTATCACAGCATCACTACTCCATGATGTCTTGAAAATAAAAAAATGAAGTAGAGAACAGATATCCTTCTAGGAACATCTCACTACAGCTGGACCGCCCTCAGCTCATCCCAGAGCACTCATCACCACCCTGCCTGGCCTTCCCTCTCCTCCTCAGGGAGTCTGTCAGACCTCCAGGGCTCTCTGTGTAGAGGCTGGTGGCTTCGTCCCAGTGACCCATCCTTGTCTCAGCTCTTTCCCAGCCTTCACAGAGCTCCTACTCTCTCCCATACTTTGTACTGCTTCCCCCGTCTGTGGTCATTTTCTCTCATCACTGAGACAGGATACTCTTTTCTTCCCAACATCCCAACTTCTGCCCATGCTCTCACCCCACAGTTATTCTGCTCCTCATTTTCAGAATCACTGTTTCCTTCCTTACCCTGCTCCTGGAACTCCTTCTGCCTCATCTTCAGGGTTACAAGTCACCACACTTCTTTCAGCTCTCTGTATCTCCATGCCCAGACTACCAGCAGCCCTTGAAATGTAACTGTATCATCTGTACTAACAAACAGTATAATTAAATTGTAAATTAATGTCTCCTTATGGGACCTGGAGTGCATCAGGCAGTTCCAAGAGATAACAAGTAGCCTATCTCAGCTCTCCTTTCCCTTAAATTGAGGAGGAACCTTGAGTGTTTCAGCTTCTCAGACTCCTCTTTCATGCCCACCACTACCTATGCCAGTGCCTGCAGTGCTGTCACAGCTGCAGGACATGCCCTCCAACCATGGAGAACACATGCAGGACACTGGTGACAGCTCCCACCTTCTGCTCCTGGGGCAGCAAGAGCTTTGCAGATATGGAAGGGGAGAAGTCCATGGTAAAGGAGACTTCAGTCTCTTTTTCCCTAACCAGCCTCATCCCACTGATGGTCCTGGGCCCTCCAGCACAGCTCTTGCACAGATACACTCTCCCAACCAGGAAGGTTGGGTAACAGCAGACTTAACAAATGCAGGAACCTCCGCAGAGGAACTTCTTACTAAGGGACAGGCATGAGAGAAGCAGAAATAGCCACAGTGACTGTTTCATATCCTGTATCACTGGGAGGCACTGAATCAATCAGGGAGCAGGGGCCGGGGCTGCTCTGTTCCATCACGAGACTGCACCACAAGTGGACTCTGGTGGAAATTCCACCATGCATACGCAAGCCACTGCACAGACCTCTCACCCCATAAATTGAGGGGCTGCTGATGGTCTGAGCATCAGACAGCAAAGAGGCTTCCAAGCTACCCTTGCCTGCTCCAGCTCCAGCCACCACTTCTCCACTGACATGAAGGTGTCTGTGGCTGCCCTCGCCATCCTCATCGCTGCCTTCTGCTACCAGACCTCTGCTGCTCCACGTAAGTCCAGGCTCTCCCCACCCTTCCTAGGTGGGGACAGGAGAGATGTCGCTGCTGTGACAGCCCCTTCTGACAGCACTTCCACTCCGGGTCCCTCCCTCTGTCCCACCATCTTCTGGCAGGTGCTCCAGGGCTGCGGGACAGGCACAGCTCAAAGATCATTAGCATAAAAGTGAAAGGTTTTTTTCCCCTTTTTAGGGTAAAAGCACAACCATGCCTCCCACCTCTGCTATAGAGGTCAAATGTGGGCACCTTGAGGAAGGCTAGGGCTGGCCAGGTTTGGGCTGGGAGATGTTGCCTGCTGGCATGGGCTGTGTCAATGCCAGCTCAGAGTGGACCCAACAGGGAAAAAAACTGAAGGAAGAAGAAAAAAGACCCCATCTTTTCTCCCCCTCTTCCACATCATCCCTAGACCCAAGGATGAGTGATCCCAGCTCCCTGCCCTGTCCCTTGCCACTGCTCATGACTGTCTTTGCCCTTCACAGTTGGCTCTGACCCACCAACCTCCTGCTGTTTCTCCTACATCTCACGGCAGCTGCCCCGCAGCTTTGTGAAGGACTACTATGAAACCAACAGCCTGTGCTCCCAGCCTGCCATCGTGTAAGTCGCTCCTCCGGGGCAGGGGTGCTTTGGGGCTGAGGAGCCAGGGAGGGAAAGGCCCCTTTTCCAAAGCCAGTGAAGGAAGGCTGGGGAAGACAAGAAATGCAAGGTGATGCTTGGAGCACAGAAGCCCCACACTGCTCCTGCTCTACCCCTTTGCAGATAAAACTGGTGGCTGCTGGCTAGGATGAGCAAGGCATGGAGCTGCTCATCCTTGGGAGAGGCTGGGTTTGGGCAAGGCTCTTGTCCCAGCCCTGGAAGTGTCCAAGGCCAAGCTGGATGGGGCTTGAAACAACATGGCATAGTGGAAGGTGTCTCTGCCCATGGCTGGGGGTAGAACTGGATAAGCTTTAAGGTATCTTTCCAAAAGATACCAGGTATCAGCCCAAACCACTCCAAAATTCCATGATTCTGTGATTCTCCATTCAGTGCTCTCCCACCAAAAACTGACCTCCGTGCATCCCACAGGTTTATCACCAGGAAGGGCCGGGAAGTCTGTGCCAACCCCGGGGACGACTGGGTCCAGCAGTACGTGAATGAGCTGGAGTTAGACTGAGGTCCTGGACAGATCCAGCTGCTCCATGTCCCCTGCTGCTGGGATGGACAAGCATGACCAGCTGGGGTCCATTAGAAGTGCTTCAATGTCATTTAGAGCTAGCAGAGAAACTGAAAACATTCCAAAATCCAACTTAATATTGTGCTATTTAATTTTTTATAGGGGAGGGATCAGGTGCAATTACTCTGAGATAAAAAATAATTTTATTTTATATATATATTTGGTTTTTTTACCTGTAGACTTGGGTTATATTTTCTGTATTTAAGTAAGTACATTTTTGACATAATATTCAATTCAGATGTCAATAAATAAATATTTTTGTAAGAACCTTCTGTGTTTGCCTCCATTACAATCCTTTGGGATTACAGTAGTTGAAATTTTAATAGTGACAACAAGTTCTTTATTTCATTTTCCACACTGGCAAAACTCCTATAAGCTTTCTGTATCTGAACATCCTGTTTTGCAAAATAATAACAAGAAAAGCCATGAAGGAGGAGTCGTGAGAAGGGTAGAGATTTCATTCAGGTAATTTGTCTCAAGCTTTTTATAAGGTATTTAATCTCCATTCATTATGACAACTGGAAGCTCATTAAATTCTGATGCTGGCTCCATTATAGTCAATCAAAATATTACCTTTAGGTAATTTAACACATTGTCTGTTTTAGGGAAAGCTTTCTGAGAGCTATAGCTAAAATGGTTCAGCTGTTTCCAGAGCTGAGGATGAAAAAAATATGTTTCACTGCAAGTATTTTAGAATTATCTCACTAAGCTCTCATTTAGCTGGGACATGAAGCTTAGCAGGTATTTCCTCTCAGTAATACCTTGACTCCAAAACCTGCTTGTCTCTGGACATGCCTGTTCAGAGATGACCATGCCAGACCCAGCCCAGGGCAGGACCTGCCCCTGCAAGGAAATATCTCCCCTGGTCTCCCTCTGGAGCTGAAAGAGATGGAACCCACTTTAGTGAAGTAATTTCCCACATCCCTGATGGCATTTCCCACACCACTGATGGTATTTAGAATGTTGTGATCTGCTCTGAACAGGCTCTGTTGGATCAGCAAGGAGGATTTGGGTTCCTCCTGCCTGGCTCTCTGGTGCAGTCCACACAAAAATGCTCAGCTCGCTCCACGGCATTTTCATACTGATTTGAGATTTCAAATATAAACACCTGTGGGACACAGGGGAGCAGAGCAGGAGGCAGCTTGGGGGAGGCACGACCTTGAGCTGACACAGAGGGTGGATGGTGAGTAGGGAGAGGAGGCTCAGGTGGGGCTGGGAGGGATCAGGGGGAGTGCAAAGTGCCTTTCCAAGACATGGCACACAGTGGATGTCTGTGTGCCAGATCACACAGAAGCCAGAACCATGTGAGAATCCTGCGAGGACACTCACCAGGGCACTGAGGTTTTTCCCTAGTACTGCCCCACTCATGGGGAGAAGCTGGTTGTGTTCCCAGGTCTCTGCCCACCAGTGACAAACCAGGGCAGCCACTCTCACAGAATGATGCATCCAGTCCCCTGTGGGTCCCTGACCCAGGAGATCACCAAGGGTTCTGCATTTCTACCCCCCAAAAAGGCACCCAGGAAAAAAAGGGGCCGGAGATTGCCTGAGAACTTGTCAGTGAAGGTGTAAATGTGGGAGCGGTCGCTTACGTTGTAGAAGGAGATCTCTCCTGCCTCATAGTCCAGGAAGATCCCAATGCGCCGGGGTCTCACGCTCAGGGTCAGGGGGGAGACGGGCACAGTCAGGGCCTCATAGGTGCCCCTGTTTTGCAGCTGCAGCACCCAGTAGCCATTGTTGGGGGAGAAGAGGATAGAGCCTTTCCGGACAGCAGCCTCCCGGCACAGCCCCAGGCCCCACTCGGGCTTGTCTCCCACCTGCACCTCCCAGTAGTGGCGGCCCGAGAAGAAGCCCGGAGTGCCCAGCACCACGGGGGCAGTGCCAAACCTCTTGGGGTTGTCGAAGAGGGACAGAAGCAGCTTCTTGCTCCCGCGCCGGACACTCTTGCGGTCCTCGGAGACAGTGAGGTCTGGGTGCGCCGTCTCTGGGTCCAGAATCACGTCCACTGGAGAGAAAGAAGGGTGGAAGATGGACAAGACTTCAGGCATATGCAGGCATAGACACAAGCAGGTGCCTGTGACCTGGATGCTGGGCTCTCCCAAACCATCCCACGTCATGCAATTATTTGCTTGCGGTTTTGCACAGCTCCCAGCACTTCCTGGCAGTGGGGAAGTGCAATACAGAAAATCAGACGTGTCAAAATATTTGGTGTCAGGCTGTAGAGCCAGGGCAGAATGAGGGCAGTTCCACAGCTTCAGAAAGAGCCAACACTGAAAGCAAGAGGTCATGAACACCACGGTGCTTGAAACCCCTGAGGGACATCCTGGGCTTCAGGGTCCCCTCACAATCCATTCAAGACCACAACAAAGATCTTCATGAAACCAGTCTGAACTCATCAGGGCATAAACTGGGAGCAGCTGGACAAAGCTTGTTGGAAAAACCTCCCTGTGCCCCAGGGTTCTGGGGGAAACCAGAGCTCAAATGTGCCAGGAGCTGTGCCCTCACCTTTGAACTTCTTCAGCATGTCCCTCATGCCCAGGCAGCGCTCAGGAATGCTGTAGTTTTCCTTCAGGGTCACAGACACACCCTTGGTGGATTGGAACTTTACCCCTTCACACCTGGAAAGAGAGGGATGCCCATGGGCTGTATTCAGAGCCTGCACCATGGCCCCTTTCTGGCTGGGAGGGGGGTTAATGCCCTTCTCTTGGCTCCATAGATCCAGTGCCTCCCTGGAGCTCTGGCTGGGAAGAGCACTAGGGATAATTGCTTGCATATTGGCAATCCAAATGAGATCAGTGTTAAATGATACAGGGAGCAGCAGTGCCAGGAAGGGCAGGGCAGGGCAGGGCAGCAGGCAGGCAGACCGGAAGCTACCCCAGGAGGACCAAAGCAGATACTGGGCAGGGAGGATGGGGTGGTTGTTGTGGAACAGACACAAATATCTGCCTCAAAGCCTGGAGGCAGCCAGGACAGTAGGAGGAACAACCATGATGCCTGCTCGGAACAACCATGGGTACTTGCCAGGAATGATCATGAGTACCTACCAGGAATAATCATGGCACCTACTGGGAAAAATCACCCACCTGGTCAGGATGCTTTTCATGTCCTAGAAAAAGACAAAAACAACTCTGGGTTTGTCTGGGCCAAGCCACCTACCCAGGTGACAAAGGCACCAGGGCTGAGTTAGTGGTGCTGGTGGCAAAGCCTGACCTTGAGCAGCCCATCAGCTGGCTGCTGGCTCTTCTCCTTTATCTCCAGGATCAGCTCCTCCAGCAAGCACTTCTCCTCCAATAGCCTGGCCAGGTTTTCGTTGATCAAAAGCAGAATCTGCTTTTCTTCCTCCTCCAGCTTCTGGAGCAGTAGCTTCTCCTCATCAGCCAGCAGCCGATGCAGCTTCCCAAACTCACTTACAATCCTCTCCCGCTTTTTCTTTACTGTCTCCTTGGGATAAGAAGATTCATGGGGTGAACGTTATCCAGGATGCTGAGTTGGATGCTCAGCATCCATGCCCGGCATCAGGCCGTGCGAAAACACTGCATTTTTGTGGTAAGTGCATGAATTTAAAAACCAGCAAATTTGTGCTTCCACCTCACTGGAGTTCCCACTTCACATCCTCAGTTTACCAGCAGCAGGACTTTGCCTGGGGCATTTCTGTTCAGCTGGACCCCAGATGTCTGGGATGTGTTGGGCTGCAAGGAGATGTTGGGGTAGGTTTTTATTACAACTCATACCTCCAGCCAAATCCAGGCTAATAAACTGCTTGGGCAGGTGGACAATGCTGGAAAAATCTCCAGTAAAGGGCAAGAGGTGGAAAAATCATAAAATCGTGGAATGGTTTCAGTTGGAAGAGATCTTAGATACCATCTGCTTCCACACCGTGCCACAGGCAGGGACACCTTCCACTAGACCAGATTGCTCCAAGTCCAATCTAGGCTGGCCTTGGACACTTCTAGGGATGGGGTTGCCAAAACTTCTTCAGGCATCCTGTGCACCCTCAGCACCCTCACAAGGAGGAACTTCTTTCTTATCTCTAATCTAAATCTCTCCTTTTTTGTTTAAGACAGTTCCCTCATGTCCTGTCTCTATCTGCCATGTAAAGAAGCCATGGGGCTGTGGAAGGATGGAAAGGCAGAGCACAGAAGCTTCCCTGGGTCTTGCTAGAAGGTGAAGAGCCAGCAACTGGCAGGGTCTGCCAGTGCTTTAGGGTTTTTCACTTCATCCCTAGAAACAGTCTGGAAACCCGGAGCTGCAGAAAGACACTCTGAGGTGAGCTTGGGACAGGAAACCTCAGAACAAATAAGATAAAGGAAAGGAAGTTGAACTCCATTTTTTTTCCCATCCAAGTACAGCATTCCTTGGACCTGAGTCATGAAGACTTGATAAGCCAGGACAGCCTCTTCCCACCACCATACATATGCGACTTTTTGCTTTTTTTCCCCGCAACCAGAGAAAGCTGGAGGCAGCTGGGCCATGGCCCTGAGCCTTGACTCAAGTGGATCAGAGGACAGTGACACAGCTCTCACAATCTCTGTCCCTCTGCTCCAATGGGGACAGAGGGCTCATAGGGACAGCCTCAAAACCCACTGCCACTTGTCTGGACTGACACAGGCAAGGGAGCTGAGCGAAAAACTAGGGGAGTTCAGAGAAACCTGCCTTCCCTGCCAGAAGTGATTAACCATCATCTCAAATTCAGGGCTGGATAACTCATCCAGCATTTCATTTCCTTTTCTTCAGTTACTTTTACGTTCCAGCTTTCATTTCACAGGACTTGAAATGCAGCTGTGTGCTGGCATCTGCTCTTCCCAGAGCTGTCTGAAGTCGAGCAGAAGTGCAGTAATTCAGCTTTTCTTTTCTTATGAAAATACTTCTGATTCCTGTTGCTGTGGAGTAGAGCTCACCACACAGCTCATGCCTGGCTTGGAACTCAAGCATATGTAAAACAAAAGGCAATAAAAAATAGCCCATGTT